TCAGTAGCCACCAACCGGCTTGCAGTAAGGGACTGAGTCTGAGAGGAACACTGCAAGGAGTAGCAGCTCAGCTGCTACACTGGCCCCAGACACCTGGCATCTTCCTCTGTCCTTTCTTCCGCCCCCTCTGCTGCGCCTCCCCTCAGCAGAAGGATCATCCATGACATGGCGATGTCCCACATCTCCCTTCACCCCGACCATTGTCCACCCCCCTCCTCCTCCTGTCACCTCCATGATCCACCATCCTCCAAGGCTCCACTCACCTCTGATGGTTCCTGCCTGGGTGTGGAGTTCAGGGTGCAGCTCTCAGTGAGGACAGGCAGCCTCCCAGCACTACATCGCTTCCCTCCCATACACATCAGGCCCATTATCCTACTCCCTTAGGGTTAACCCTGCAACCAGAGTACACCCCCCACCTATTGATTGTCTCCAGCTGTGTAGAAGAAGGCGGAGCCAGTGCTGGACATGCCCAGGGTCCTGTACTTATGTCATCACTTCCCATCCTAGGGTGAACCAACACCTCACTGCTACATGGAATGTGTGTGTATATGTCTACGTGTGTGTGTGTGTGTGTGTGTGTGTATATATATATATATATATATATATATATATATAATTGAATGGTCATGTGTGTGGGGAGGCTATCAGACAATTATACTGAGTAAAGATACCATCATTCACTCATCATTCCCTGTGTATGGGGAAATGTGGACTCTGCAGAGAAATTAAGAATTCATACAAGAGGTCCATAGGATACAAAGGGAGACAGCTGACCTCTGCTGCGCCGAGGCGCCCCTAGGTGGCAGTGCGCCCTAGGCCTGTAAGGATTTGTTCTCCATGTTTCCCTCATGTACTGGTTAGCTACAGTGGGAGATAATGGGGATCCCATAGCATGGCCATGTACCTGTTTGCAGACGTTATCTGTGTACATAAAGTAGGTGATTTCAAGGCAAAGGTCCAACAAGAAACATAGTTGGTCTGACTTGAGTTCTGTTCATCTATCAGAGGGTCTTCTTCGGTTTCAGATGTTTTTTTTTACATCCTCAATAGCCTCCACTGTTGGCATACAGGTGCAAAGTGATGTGTAATCATAGGAAACCCTTGTCTCTTTGGCTGTAAGGCTTTCCTTTCCACTTCCTCCATGTATAGGTTAGCCACAGTAGGAAACAATGGTGATCCCGAAGCTCCCACATTTCTCTTTGTAGAAGTTCTCCTTGTACGTGAAGTAGGTGGTCTTGGGACAAAGGTTAAGGGAGGAACATACTTGTTCTGACTTGAGTTCTAATTATCTGTCAAGGGTCTTCTCTGGTTGCAGATGTTTTCTTACATCCTCAATAGCCTCTGCAGTTGGTATACAGGTGAAAAGTGATGACATCATAGGACACCATTGTCTCTTCTGGTTTTAAGGCTTTCCTCTCCAATTCCTCAATGTACAGGTTACCTGCAGTGGGAGAAAATGGTGATCCCATAGCTCCCATGTCCCTCTCTTTAGTTATCCTTGTAGAAGTAGGTGGCGTTGAGGCAGAGGTCCAACAAGGAACATACTTCGCCTGGCCTGAGTTTCTTCAGCTGTCAAGGGTCTTCTCAGGTTTTGGATGTTTCCTTAAAGTGGTTGTAAAGGATGAAGTTTAATGAAGGTAAAAAACCTGCGTGCAGCAGTGCCCCCAGCCCCCTCAATATTTACCTTAGCCTCTTTGAGATCCAGATATGTGAATGAGAGTCTCGACTGTTCCGGGTCTCTGCCTCCTCATTGGCTAAGACAGTAAGCGAGGGCCATTGACTCCCGTCGCTGTCATTTACAGCCAATCAGTCAATGAGGAAAGAAAGGGGGAGAAGCCAAGCCGTGGCTCTGTGTGTGAATAGACACACGGAGCAGCGGGTGCCCCCATATCAAACTGTTTGCTGTGGGGGGACCCGACAGACAGGAGGAGCAAGGAGAGCCTGCGGGGGACCCGAGAAGAGGATGATTCAGGCTGCTCTGTGCAAAACCACTGCACACAGTAGGTAAGTATAGACATGTTTGTTTTTTTTACACAAAAAAAAATGAACTTTTAGAATCACTTTAAATCCTTGATAGCCTCTGAAGTTGGTATACAAGTGGGAACTGATATCCCATTGTAGAACACCATTGTCTCTGGCTGTAAGGTTTTCCTCTCCACTTCCCCCATGGTCATTTTAGCTGAAATAGGGGACAGTAGTGATCCCGTAGTGCAGCCATTTTCCTGGTGCCTCTCTGTAGAAGGTACCGTTGAGCATGAAATAGATGGTGTTGAGGCATACGTTCAGCAAACATCCTTGGCCCATCTTGGCTCTGTTCAGCTATCAAGGGTCATATCTAGTTTCAGATATTTCCTTATATCTGAATAGCCTCTTCAGTATGTATACTGGTGAAAAGAGCTGTGACATCATAGGATACCATGGTCTCTTCTGCCGATAAGGCCTTCCTCTCCACCTCCAACTTGTACATGTTAGCTACCATGGAGACAATGGTGATCCCATTGAATAGCACTGTACCTGTTTGTAGACCTTATCTTTCCACATAAAACAAGTGGTTTCATGGCAAAGGTCCAACAAGGAACATACTTGGTCTGGCTTGAGTTCTATTCATCTGTCAAGGTTCATATCTAGTTAAAATATTTCCTTACATCCTCAATATCCTCTGCAGTTTGGATGCAGGTGAAAAGTGATGTGAGATCATAGGACCCCATTATCACTTATCCTATAAGGTTTTCTTCTCCATTTCCTCAATGAATAGGTTAGCTAAACTGGAAGATAATGGTGATCCCATAGTACAGCCATATTCCTGTCCATAGAAGGTATCCTTGTACATGATGTAGGTGGTGTTAAGCCAAAGGTCCAGCAAGGAAAATACTTGGTCTGGTTTCAGTTCTTTTCAGCTGCCAGTCTGGTTTCAGATGTTTCCTTAAATCCTCAATAGCCTCTGCAGGTGAAAAGTGATGTGACATCATAGGACAACATTGTCTCTTCTGCCTGTAAGGATTTTGTTCTCCATGTTTCCCTCATGTACTGGTTAGCTACAGTGGGAGATAATGGTGATCTCATAGCGTGGCCATGTACCTGTTTATAGACGTTATCCGTGTACATAAAGTAGGTGGTTTCAAGGCAAAGGTCCAACAAGGAAATACTTGGTCTGGCTTAAGTTCTGTTCATCTATCAGATGGTCTTCTCTGGTTTCAGATGTTTTCTTACATTCTCAATAACCTCCGCTGTTGGCATACAGGTGCAAAAGTGATGTGTAATCATAGGAAACCCTTGTCTCTTTTGGCTGTAAGGCTTTCCTTTCCATTTCCTCCATGTATAGGTTAGCCACAGTAAGAGACAATGGTGATCCCGAAGCTTCCCGCTTTTCTCTCTGTAAACGTTATCCTTGTACATGAAGTAGGTGGTCTTGGGACAAAGGTCCGGGGAGGAACATACTTGTTCTGACTTGAGTTCTAATTATCTGTCAAGGGTCTTCTCTGGTTTCAGATGTTATCTAAAATCCTGAATAGCCTCCGCAGTTGGTATAGAGGTGAATAATGTTGTAAAATCATAGGATACCCATGTCTCTTCTGGCTGGAAAGCTTTCCTCTCTGGGCTTCCTCCATGTATAGGTTAGTTACAGTAGAAGACAATAGTGATCCCAAAGCTCTCACGTTCCACTCTGTAGAAGTTATCCTTGTACGTGAAGTAGTGTTGGGGCATAGGTCCAGTAAGGGACATCCTTGGTCTGCCTTCAGTTCTGTTCATCTGTCAAGGGTTTTTTTTCTGGTTTCTGATGTTTTCTTACTTACCTCAGTAGCCTTCACAGTCGGTATGCAGGTGACAAGTTACGTGACATCACATAGGCCTTCTTCTCCACTTCTTACATGTACAGGATAGCTACGTGTGGGGCCAATGGCTGATCCCTGAGCCCTTCCTGTCTACAGAAGACATGCTTACTGGGTTACCTACAGAAGACTATGGCGATCCCCTAGCTCCCATGTTGCTCTCTGTAGAAGGTATCCTTGTAAGCAAAGTAGGTGGTGTTTAGCCAAAGGTATATCAAGGAACATACTTGGTCTGGCTTGAGTTCTGGCCATCAGTCATGTGTCTTCTCTAGTTTTAGATGTTTTCTTACATCCATAGCCTCTGCAGTTGGTATACAGGTAAAAAGTGATGTGACATCATAAAACACCAGTGCCTCCTCTGCCTGTAAGGCTTTCCTCTCCGTTTTCCTCCATGTCCACGTTAGCTACAGTGGAAGACAATAGTGATACGATCGCACAGCCATGTACCTGTCTGTAGACATTATCCTTGTACATAAAGTAGGTGATGTTGGGGCAAAGTTCCATCAAGGGACATACTTCGTCTAGCTTGAATTCTGTTCATCTGTCAGAGAGTCTTCTCTGGTTTCAGTTGATATAGAGGTGATAGAAGGTGATAGTTGATATAGAAGTGATGTGAAAGCATAGGAAACCCTTGTCTCTTCCAACTGTAATGCTTTCCTCTCCACTTCCTCAATGTACAGGTTAGCTATAATGCGAGACAATGGTGATCTCATAGGACAGCCATATACCTGTCCGTAGAAACTACCCTTGTACATGAAGTAGGTGGTGTTGAGGAAAAGGTCCATACGGAACATACGTGGTCTGGCTTGAGTTCTGTTCCATTGTTGAAGGTTTTCAATCTTGTTCCATATGTTTCTTTAAGTTCTCAGTAGCCTTGGAAGTCATGCAGGCAAAAAGTCATGAGACATCATAGGACACCATTGTCTCTTCTATCCATAGCAAGCTGGTTTCACAAGGTGGTTTCACAGACCCTCACATCTCCTATCACGTTCTTGGACCCCAAGCATCTGCCTAGACACAACTTCCTCAACATTATAGAATAATTCCAGTTAAATACAACTAACCTGTACTAATGACTTCCTGTCTACACAACACAACACATGACAATGACAAGGACCCCCCAGGAATGCCAAGAACTCCATTGTGATTTTCATCTTAAATCTCTACACAGGTGAAGCCCTGGTGACCTCTGTTGCCTATGACGCCGCATATCTTCCATGTTCCTTTAATTTTATACAAGGAGTGGAAAACCTGATAGTCGTCTGGGAGAAGACAGGAAAAGATGGCAAAAACGTGCAGGTCTACAAGTCTGTGAATGGTCAGAATGATCTATCCAATCAGGATTCTCAGTTTCGAGGACGTACAGTTTTTTCAGGAGACTTCTCACAGGGGAAGCTGGACCTAACCCTGATGGGAGCCACCTGGAACGATGGCGGGGTTTATTACTGCCGAGCTGCCAATAGAATAAATCACGGAGACAACGTGGTGGTATTATCCGTCAGTGGTAAGTTCTGTCTGTAAGTTTTGTGATATCAGATGTGCCCAACAATATTAACATCTTCCAGGTATGACCTTCGTGCCAGGCGCGGCATAATACTGAGTGCTCTTCTGGTTTCCTTCTGCTCTCTTCTCTTTTTACATCTCTCTGTCGGCCCATCGGGATGACTGGGTAGACCTTCTACCCTGGGCAGAGTTTGCCCTTAATAACCATGCCAGTGCCAGTACTGGTGAGTCTCCCTTTTTCACTGTGTATGGCCATCATCCTTCTGTGCCAATTCCTGTTCCCATCTCCTCTGAGGTGCCCGCGGCTGCAGGGACACAACGATCATTCGATTCTATCTGGGCAGAGGTTTCCAAGAATTTACGTCTGGCAGCTTCCAAGTACAAAGCAGCTGCAGATCTTCATCGCCACGTGAGGTCCAAATTTCTCCCTGGTGACAAGGTTTGGCTCTCTACGAAGAAAATCCATCTACGGGTACCCTCTATGAAATTTGCTCCTCGGTTCATTGGTCCCTTTACCATCCTCTGCCAGGTCAATCCTGTTGCTTTCAAACTTCACCTCCCTTTGCATCTGAGAATCCCTAATGTTTTCCATGTTTCTCTTCTGAGACCGTACATCATCAACAGGTTTTCCCATCCTCATCCTTCCCCAATAGTGAGTACCACGGATACGTATGAAGTCAAGCAAATCTTGGATTCCAAATTCCTCAGAGGGAAGCTTTCGTATCTAATTGACTGGAAGGGATATGGTCCTGAGGAGAGGTGTTGGATTCCTTCTACTGATGTTTTCTGCACCCCGTCTGGTGGAACTTTTTCATCAGAAGTTTCCTCTTAAGCCTGGCCTTAAAAAAGTGGGGAGACATCGTAAGGGGGGGGGGGGGGGGGGAGTACTGTCACAAGTTAGCATGCAGTTTCTTGTTTGCGTATTCTTACCTCCTTGCTGCAGTGCTGTTCCTGATCCCTTTCACATGTGTGGACTGTCTGTGCTCACCTATGGGTGTTGTCTACTGGTCTCTGGGTTTTATTTCCTTCCCTTCCATCACTTCCTGGCCCGCCTCCTAGTTTGCCTGCGTATATAACACATGCTCAGTCCAGCCCACTTTGCCTGAGCAACGTCTTAGTTCTCCGAGGTCCTGTTTGTTGCTACTCCTGTATCCTGAATCTGATGACCCGTGTACCGACCCTTGCCTTCGCTCACCGGCTGTGCTTGATTTCTGCCCGTCCTGACCTCGGCTTGTCTATTGTATTTCCTGTTGTCTCCTCCCATTGTACTCTGCGAGCATTCTCCGCATCCTTAGCTGGGTGTACCTGGGGGCCGCGACTTAGTTCTAGCTCGCTACAAGCCCATCCCCACCATCAGGGGCTCTGGTGAAGAAGCAGGCTGAGGCTTAGACTCCACCCGGGAACCCCGAGTTGGCGATCCACAAGGGCTCACTACCACAGGCTCTTGACACTCTCCTTTCTCTTCTCCTTTCTCTCACCTCTCTACTCTTCTCTCATCTTCTCCCCACAGTCACACACTATTATTATTACCAGAGGAGCTTACACTCTAATGTCCCCTCCCCCGCAGTCCCATCAGCCTCTGTACCAGAGGAGCTTACGCTCTAATGTCCCCCTCTCCCCACAGTCCACATCAGTCTCTGTACAGAGGCGCTTACACTTTAATGTCCCCTCCCCCACAGTCCCATCAGTCTCTGACAAGAAGAGCTTACGCTCTAATGTCCCCTCCCCCACAGTCCCCATCAGTCTCTGTACCAGAGTGCTTACACTCTAATCCCCTCCCCCACAGTCCCGTCAGTCTCTGTACCAGAGGAGCTTACGCTGTAATGTCCCCTCCCCCACAGTCCCATCAGTCTCTGTACCAGAGGAGCTTACGCTCTAATGTCCCCTCCCCCACAGTCCCATCAGTCTCTGTACCAGAGGAGCTTACACTCTATTGTCCCCTCCCCAACGTCACATCAGTCTCTGTACCAGAGGAGCTTACGCTCTAATGTCCCCTCCCCCATCACATCAGTCTCTGTACCAGAGGAGCTGACGCTCTAATGTCCCCTCCCCCACAGTCCCATCAGTCTCTGTACCAGAGGAGCTGACGCTCTAATGTCCCCCCCCACAGTCACATCAGTCTCTCTGTACAGAGGAGCTTACACTCTAATGTCCCCATCTCCCCACAGTCCCATCAGTCTCTGTACAAGAAGAGCTTACGCTCTAATGTCCCCTCCCCAACGTCACATCAGTCTCTGTACCAGAGGAGCTTACGCTCTAATGTCCCCTCCCCCACAGTCCCATCAGTCTCTGTACCAGAGGAGCTTACGCTCTAATGTCCCCTCCCCCACAGTCCCATCAGTCTCTGTACCAGAGGAGCTTACGCTCTAATGTCCCCTCCCCCGCAGTCTAGCCTCTGTACCCTTACACCTATTGTCAACGGTCACATCATCTCTGTACCAGAGGAGCTTACGCTCTAATGTCCCCTCCCCCCACAGGTCACATCAGTTTCTGTACCAGAGGAGCTGACGCTCTAATGTCCCCTCCCCCACAGTCCCATCAGTCTCTGTACCAGAGGAGCTGACGCTCTAATGTCCCCCCCCCCCACAGTCACATCAGTCTCTTACCAGAGGAGCTTACACTTTAATGTCCCCTCCCCCCGCAGTCCCATCAGTCTCTGTACCAGAGGAGCTTACACTCTAATGTCCCCTCCCCCACAGTCACACACTATTATTATATACATGTATATAGCTCTGACATATACCGCGGCGCGCTGTACAGAGATCACTGATCCGGTGCCATCACATTGAAGTTGCTCTCTCTGCTCTCTCTCCAGCTCCGCCCCTACAGAAGATCCAGAGAGCGGCTGAAGATGATGTCACTCTGGTGCCGAAGTATTTTGGCTTCCCGACAGAAATAAACTGGAAGGTGAACAATAATAAACTGGTGGAGATGGAGTTGGAGTCACCCAAACCGCATTTTTACCGCCTCGCAGACAGAGCCGCCCTACAAAATACCGGATCCCTGACCATAAGAAATCTGACCAAGGGGGATTCGGGGGACTACAAGTCGGAGGCGATCGTGAATAATTACATCCAAGAAACCGAAATACGTCTCTCTGTACTCGGTGAGTCCATGTGTGACAACTGCCATTTATGGGTGGAGTCTCCCGATCGGGATCCCGGCACGCCTGGGCCAGCCTTGCATTGCAGAAGGGCTGAATATCATAGTACATTGTGAAGCATATTTAGGGGGATCTGTCACCCCCCATGATGCCGTGTGCACCCAACACCCACATGCAAGAAAAATAGATTTTAAAAATACATTCTTAATACAGGGGGGAAAAAAGTATTTAGTCCCCACCAATTGTACAAGTTCTCCCACTTACAGAGATGAGAGAGGCCTGTAATTGGCATCATAGGGAGACCTCAACTATGAGAGACAAAATGAGAAAACAAATCCAGACAATCTCATTGGCTGATCTGGAAAGAATTTATTTGCAAATTATGGTGGAAAATAAGTATTTGGTGAATATGAAAAGTTCATGTCAATACTTTGTTATATATCCTTTGTTGGCAATGACAGAGGTCAGACGTTTCCTGGAAATCCTCACAAGGTTGGCACACACTGTTGCTGGTATGTTGGCCCATCCTCCATGCAGATCTCCTCCTCCATGCAGATCTCCTCTAGAGCAGTGATGTTTTGGGGCTGTCGCTGGGCAACACGGACTTTCAACTCCCTCCAAAGGTTTTCTATGGGGTTGAGATCTGGAGACTGGCTAGGCCACTCCAGGACCTTGAAATGCTTCTTACGAAGCCACTCCTTCGTTGCCCGGGCGGTATGTTTGGGATCATTGTCATGTTGGAAGACCCAGCCACGTTTCATCTTCAATGCCCTTGCTGATGGAAGGAGGTTTGCACTCAAAATCTCACGATACATGGCCCTATTCATTCTGTCCTGTACATGGATCAGTCGTCCTGGTCCCTTTGCAGGAGAAACAGCCCCAAAGCACGATGTTGCCACCTCCATGCTTCACAGTAGGTATGGTGTTCTTTGGCTGCAACTCAGCATTCTCTCTCCTCCAAACACGACGAGTTGTGTTTCTATCAAACAGTTCTATTTTGGTTTCATCTGACCATATGACATTCTCCCAATCCTCTTCTGGATCATCCAAATGCTCTCTAGCAAACTTCAGACGGGCCCCGGACATGTACTGGCTTAAGCAGGGGGCCACGTCTGGCACTGCAGGATCTGAGTCCCTGGCGGCGTAGTGTGTTACTGATGGTAGCCTTTGTTACGTTGGTCCCAGCTCTCTGCAGGTCATTCACTAGGTCCCCCCGTGTGGTCCTGGGATTTTTGCTCACCGTTCTTGTGATCATTTTGACCCCACGGGGTGAGATCTTGCGTGGAGCCCCAGATGGAGGGAGATTATCAGTGGTCTTGTATGTCTTCCATTTTCTAACTATTGCTCCCACAGTTGATTTGTTCACACCAAGCTGCTTGCCTATTGCAGATTCAGTCTTCCCAGCCTGGTGCAGGTCTACAATTTTGTTTCTGGTGTCCTTCAACAGCTCTTTGGTCTTCCCCATAGTGGAGTTTGGAGTGTGACTGTTTGAGGTTGTGGACAGGTGTCTTTTATACTGATAACAAGTTCAAACAGGTGCCATTGATACAGGTAATGAGTGCAGGACAGAGGAGCCTCTTAGAGAAGAAGGTCCAGGTCTGTGAGAGCCAGAAATCTTGCTTGTTTGTAGGTGACCAAATACTTATTTTCCACCATAATTTGTAAATAAATTCTTTCCAGATCAGCCAATGAGATTGTCTGGATTTGTTTTCTCATTTTGTCTCTCATAGTTGAGGTCTCCCTATGATGCCAATTACAGGCCTCTCTCATCTCTGTAAGTGGGAGAACTTGTACCATTGGTGGGGACTAAATACTTTTTTGCCCCACTGTATATTCTTCCCATTTATATATGGACCTATATTTCAAAGTGTCATTTGGAATGCATTTACAAGTATATTTAAAAATCTATGTTTAAATGCATTTTTTTTAGATGTTCAAAAATATCTGGAAAATTATATTTTAATTTACATTTTTGGAATACATTTTAAAATATATTTGCGTCGGCCAATATATTGTAAATATATGTCACATGTACCGTATTTTTCACTCCATAAGATGCACCTAGGTTTTAGAGGAGAAAAGCAAGAAAAAAAATATTCTGAACCAATGGACTGCAGACACAGTACAGGAGATGACCAGAGACTGCAGACATAGTACAGGAGATGACCAGAGACTGCGGACATAGTACAGGAGATGGTCGGAGACTGTGGCCACAGTACAGGAGATGACCAGAGACTGCAGACATAGTACAGGAGATGATCAGAGACTGCAGACACAGTACAGGAGATGACCGGAGACTGCGGACACAGTACAGGGGATGATCAGAGACTGCGGACATAGTACAGGAGATGACCAGAGACTGCGGACACAGTACAGGAGATGACCAGAGACTGCAGACATAGTACAGGAGATGACCAGAGACTGCGGACATAGTACAGGAGATGACCAGAGACTGCGGACATAGTACAGGAGATGATCAGAGACTGCAGACACAGTACAGGGGATGACCAGAGACTGCGGACACAGTACAGGAGATGATCAGAGACTGCAGACATAGTACAGGGGATGACCAGAGACTGCGGACACGGTACAGGAGATGACCAGAGACTGCGGACACGGTACAGGAGATGACCAGAGACTGCGGACATAGTACAGGAGATGACCAGAGACTGCGGACACGGTACAGGAGATGACCAGAGACTGCGGACACGGTACAGGAGATGACCAGAGACTGCAGACATAGTACAGGAGATGACCAGAGACTGCGGACACGGTACAGGAGATGACCAGAGACTGCAGACATAGTACAGGAGATGACCAGAGACTGCGGACACGGTACAGGAGATGACCAGAGACTGCAGACATAGTACAGGAGATGACCAGAGACTGCGGACACGGTACAGGAGATGACCAGAGACTGCAGACATAGTACAGGAGATGACCAGAGACTGCAGACATAGTACAGGGGATGACCAGAGACTGCGGACACGGTACAGGAGATGACCAGAGACTGCAGACATAGTACAGGAGATGACCAGAGACTGCGGACACGGTACAGGAGATGACCAGAGACTGCGGACATAGTACAGGAGATGACCAGAGACTGCGGACACGGTACAGGAGATGACCAGAGACTGCGGACACGGTACAGGAGATGACCAGAGACTGCGGACACAGTACAGGAGATGACCAGAGACTGCGGACACGGTACAGGAGATGACCAGGGACTGCGGACACAGTACAGGAGATGACCAGAGACTGCGGACACAGTACAGGAGATGACCGGAGACTGCGGACATAGTACAGGAGATGACCAGAGACTGCGGACACAGTACAGGAGATGACCAGAGACTGCGGACACGGTACAGGAGATGACCAGAGACTGCGGACACGGTACAGGAGATGACCAGAGACTGCGGACACGGTACAGGAGATGACCGGAGACTGCGGACACAGTTCAGGAGATGACCAGAGACTGCGGACACAGTACAGGAGATGACCAGAGACTGCTGACACAGTACAGGAGATGACCGGAGACTGCGGACACAGTACAGGAGATGATCGGAGGAGACTGCGGACACAGTACAGGAGATGACCAGAGACTGCTGACACAGTACAGGAGATGACCAGAGACTGCTGACACAGTACAGGAGATGACCGGAGACTGCGGACACAGTACAGGAGATGACCGGAGACTGCGGACACGGTACAGGAGATGACCGGAGACTGCGGACACAGTTCAGGAGATGACCAGAGACTGCGGACACAGTACAGGAGATGACCAGAGACTGCTGACACAGTACAGGGGATGACCAGAGACTGCGGACACAGTACAGGAGATGACCGGAGACTGCGGACACAGTACAGGAGATGACCGGAGACTGCGGACACAGTACAGGAGATGACCAGAGACTGCGGACACAGTACAGGAGATGACCAGAGACTGCGGACACAGTACAGGAGATGACCAGAGACTGCGGACATAGTACAGGAGATGACCAGAGACTGCAGACATAGTACAGGAGATGACCAGAGACTGCGGACACAGTACAGGAGATGACCAGAGACTGCTGACCTTTGGGGAGGGAGGAGGAGCGGGTACCTGAATTTGACAGGTACCCGCTCCCACTTCCGCGGAGTTGTCCTTCCTTCCTTCTTCTTCCCGGGCCGGCTTCTGTGACAGCCGGGTGCCCACTGCGCATGTGCGAGAAGCGCTGCGCTTTGCGAATGTCCCGGAGCCTTCTGGGACCTGTCATGTGTCCTTCTCATGCATGCGCAGTGGGCACCCGGCTGTCACAGAAGCCGCCGCGGGAAGACTGCAGCGCTGGAGCGAGGAACAGGTGCGGTCCTGCAGGAGAGAAGAGCTGAGCGGCCGGCCCGGTATCCTGACATGGTGGCGGCAGAACTACCGGACAGGTCGCTTTATATTTGCTCCATAAGACACACTGACATTTTCCCCCTTTTTTTGGGGGGAAAAAACTGCATCCTATGGAGCGAAAAAACGGTATATTTTTTTTTCTAAATATATTGGAAATATATTTCTCTTCCATATGGGGAGACTCCTTTTAAATTCATGTACTTTACATTAAATATGTGCATGTAATAAAGCTGATATTTTTTTACAAAAAAGTTTTCCTTGAATATTTAGTGAAGGAAATGCGTATTTGCTCCCCTGCTGATGGTGAATGTTCGCCCCTCACACAGAAATGATTGATCTAAAAATCAAATGGTAGGTGTCAGGGGCGGACTGACAACTCATGGGGCTCCTGTGTCCCTGCCCAAACTCAAAAAACCTGTGAAAAAGGTACCAAGGACAGCTCATGGGGCCCGAGTTTCCAAATGGTCAGTCCGCCCCTGATAGGTGTATTGTAACACTGAGAGACAGAATACAACAACAAATTCAGCAGAAATGCGTCTAACAAATGATGACGGATCTGCATGTTCATGAGGGAAAGAAGGATTTGATCCCCTATCATTCAGCAGGATTTCTGGCTCCCAGGTGTCTCTCATACAGGTAACAAGCTGAGATTAGAAGCAGTCTCTTAAAGGGAGTGCTGCTAATCTCATTGTGTTACCTGTATAAAAGACACCTGTCCACAGGAGCCATCAAACCATCAGATTCCAAACTCTCCACCATGGCAAAGACCAAAGAGCTGTCCAAGGATGTCAGGGACAAGACGGTAGACCTACACAAGGCTGGACTGGGCTACCAAACTATGGCCAAGCAGCTTGGTGAGAAGGTGACAACAGTTGGTGCAATCATTCACAAATGGAAGAAACACAAAACAAGTGTCAGTCTCCCTAGGTCTGGTGCACCATGCAAGATCTCACCTCGTGGAGTGTCAATGATCATGAGAACAGTGAGGAATCATCCCAGAACTACACGTGAGGATCTTGTCAATGATCTCCAGGCAGCTGGGACCACAGTCACCAAGAAAACAATTGGTAACACACTACGCCGACAAGGACTGAAATCCTGCAGTGCCCGCAAGGTCCCTCTGCTCAAGAAAGCCCATGTCCAGGCCCGTCTGAAGTCTGCCACTGAACATCTGAATGATGCCGAGGAGGACTGGTGGGAAGTGTTGTGGTCAGAGGAGACCAAAATCCAGCTCTTTGGCATCAACTCAACTCGCCGTGTTTGGAGGAGGAGGAATGCTGCCTATGACCCCAAGAACACCAGCCCAACTGTGAAACATGGTGGTGGAAACATTCTGCTTTGGGGGTGTTTTTCTGCTAAGGGGACAGGACAACTGCACCACATCAAAGGGACGATGGACAGGGCAATGTACCCTCAAATCTTGGGTGAGAACCTTCTTCCCTCAGCCAGGGCATTGAAAATGGGTGGTGGATGGGTGTTCCAGCATGACAATGACCCAAAACACACGGCCAAGGCAACAAAGGAGCGGCTCAAGAAGAAGCACATTAAGGTCCTGGAGTAGCCTAGCCAGTCTCCAGACCTTCATCCGATTGAAAATCTGTGGAGGAGCTGAAAGTTCGAGTTGTTCGAGTTCTAAATGTTAGCCACCAAACCTTAATGACTTGGAGAGGATCTGCCAAGAGGAGTGGGCCAAAATCCTTCCTGAGATGTGTGCGAACCTGGGGGCCAACTCCAGGAAACGTCTGACCTCTGTGATTACCAACAAGGGATTGGCCACCAAGTACTAAGTCATGTTTTGTGAAGGGGATCAAATCCTTCTTTCCCTCATGAACATGCAGATCCGTCATCATTTGTTAGACGCATTTCTGCTGAATTTGTTGTTGTATTCTGTCTCTCAGTGTTACACCGAACATTCCATTGTTAGACCGATCGTTTCTGTGTGAGGGGCGAACATTCCATTGTTAGACCGATCATTTCTGTGTGAGGGGCGAACATTCCATTGTTAGACCGATCATTTCTGTGTGAGGGGCGAACATTCCATTGTTAGACCGATCGTTTCTGTGTGAGGGGCGAACATTCAGCATTAGGGGGGAGCAAATACACATTTCCTTCACTGTACATATAATACCGTATTGCTGCAGGAAGTCCCGGGGGGGGGGGGGGGGGTGTTTTTGGACATGTGTCTATTTAGGGACGAGCGGCTAGATACTCGACTCCTATTGGTTTTGATCTATTTGGGTGTCACCCACCCTCCCCATCCCCCAATAGAGTATTTTTTCACACTTCAAGTTTAAATATTTACATTATTATGTTTTTCTTCTTTTTTTTTGTACAGTGAACATCTCCTGTTTTTGAAGTATTACATCTTGTGGGGAAAAAACCCTGAAGACCTTAGATATGAGTGAGTTCCAGGGTCAGAACGGGTGAATTTAATGCCCACCTTATCTAATTGATTTTTTTTTCCCAGAAAGAACAAACTGAAACAGAAATTTTTTTGCCGTTTTTAGGTCGGGAAAACTTCTGGAAAATAAATCGGCGCTTTTTTTTGGCACAGTCAAAGTTTTGACAAATGTGCCAGAGAGAAAATCAACCTACTTTGGGGTTAAAGACCCATAAAGGCTGTAAGAGGAATCATTTCTCCTTGTCTCTGGCTGCATTCCTGCAGCCATTGAGAAATACTGTGTGAGCTGTGATTGGTCACAGCTTGTCACATGGTACAAGGCTCTTGTGAATAGCCCTGTACCATGTGATCTCTGATCATTCACAGATTTTACACGTAGTAAGCAATGATGTCAGAAGTGACAGTTTACTATTGTTCATGTGATCACTGATTGGCCAATCAGTGATCACATGATCAGGATCTCACACAGAGGTCCCTTACACCGGATCGCAGTGCCGCATGATCCCAGGGAGAGCGCACAGGCTGCAAATGTGGGTACCATTTATAATAAACGTCCACCCGTTCCTGCACTGCTCCCATCCGGCCATTTATGTACATGGACCGGACGGGAAGAGGTTAAATACATGTATGTAATAAAGCTGATATTTTTTTTTTACAAAAATGTTTTCTTGAATATTCCTCCGGGACCTGGATTCATGTGGTTTCATCCTGGACGTCATACCGTATTGCTGCAGAAAAGTCCCACTGGGGGGTCCTTTTGTATTAACCTCTTGCTGACAAACCCTTTAAGGCACGGGTGTCAAACTGGCGGCCCTTTAGCTCTTGCCAAACTTCAAGTCCCATGAGGCATTGCAAGATTGACAGTTACAAGCATGACTCCCAAAGGCAGAGGCATGATGGGACTTGTAGTTTCGCAAACAGCCGGAGGGCCGCCAGTTTGACATCCTTGCTTGAAGGAGTTGTCAATGATGAGAGGCTTCCCAGTCACGTAAATCACTGGTTGGCACAGCGATTTCATGATCAGGAACCCGTTCCTGGCCCCTATCAACGCCACAAACATTCTTCGTATATGGAAGAAAGCCAACTTCCGTGGTGCTGCATGTGTGTGACTCCGGTGTGAGGGTGGTAAAATGGGTCCTAATTTTTACCGTCTTTTCCTACAGATCGTGTGTGTCCAAGCCCATCATCATTAACAACAGCACCAGCGAGCATGTTATCCTGCTTTGCGTGTCCTCCACAACCAACGTGTCCTACAAATGGTTGGTCAACGGAGGAGAAAGAAAACGGCTGGACAGCAATACACCGCATCCAGACCAAAAGAGGACGTGACGCTGAACTGCACTGTGAAGAACTCCGTGTCGGAGGATAGCCAAAGTATAACCATCCTTTATAAATCAGGTGAGAGACATGAGAAATACAAATGGGGCAAATATCAAATGTTCTCCAGCTATTTTGACTTCTGGCCAAATGCTCTTCAAATACACTCACCGGCCACTTTATGAGGTCCACCTTGCTAGTCCCGGGTTGGACCCCCTTTGGCCTTCATTCTTGGTGGCATAGATTCAACAAGGTGTTGGAAACGTTTCCTCAGAGATTTTGCTCCATATTGACATGATAGCATCACACAGTTGCTGTAGGTTTGTCGGCTGCACATCCATGATGGGAATCTCCTGTTCCACCACATCCCAAAGGTGCTCTATTGGATGGAGATCTGGAGACTGTGGAGGCCATTGGAGTGCAGTGATCTCATTGTCATGTTCAAGGAACCAGTTGGAGATGGTTTGAGCTTTGTGACATGGAGCAATATCCTGCTGGAAGGAGCCATCAGAAGATGGGGACACTGGAGTCATAAAGGGATGGACATGGTCAGCAACAATACTCAGGTAGGCCGAGGTGATGAAACGATCCTAAAATGGTACTAAGTGGCCCAAAGTGTGCCAATAAAATCTCCCCCACACCATGACACCACCACCACCAGCCTGAACCGTTGATACAAGGCAGGATGGATCCACCACACCATGAGACACCACCACCAGCCTGAACCATTGTGATACAAGGCAGGAATGGATCACACCATGAATCCCACCAGCCTGAAACCATTGATACAAGGCAGGATTCGGATCCACCACCCCATGAGACCACCACCAGCCTGAACAATTGATACAAGGCAGGATGGATCTGACCACCATGACACCCACCAGCCTGAACCGTTGATACAAGGCAGGATGGATCCATGACACCACCACCACCAGCCGGAACCGTTGATACAAGGCAGGATGGATCCATGACACCACCACCACCAGCCGGACCGTTGATACAAGGCAGGATGGATCCATGACACCACCACCACCAGCCGGACCGTTGATACTAGGCAGGATGGAGCACCACCACTCACCAGCCGAACGTTGATACAAGGCAGGATGGATCCACACCACCACACAGCCACCCGTTGATACAAGGCAGGATGGATCCATGCCCCCACCACCTGCCGGAACCGTTGATGCAAGGTAGGATGGATCCACCACACCATGACACCCCCACCACCAAGCCTGAACCGTTGATACAAGGCACAATGGATCCTCACTCACCATGACACCACCAGCCTGAAAATGTGGATACAAGGTAGGATGGATCCACCACACCATGACACACCCGTACCACACCAGCCTGAATAATTTGTTATTATTTTTTGAGGGTTAAGAGGTTAATTTATTATTTATTTATACCTAGTATTTATTTATGATGATTTTTTTTTTCACTTGTGTATTTATTTTACCATTTTTATTATTATTATTATTATTATTACCCATAACAATAAATAAAAGATGAGAAAATAATAAGTAAAATACTTATACATAAAATAATAAATAATCACCAATAATAATATAATAAAATACTAATCCCAATCCTAACCCTAATCTAACCTTAACTAACTCCGTACCCTAACAAAAAAAATAATAATAATAATAATTTGTTCTATTTTTTTAAGGGTTGGGGTTAATTTATTATTTATTTATACCTAGTATTTATTTATGATTTTTTTTCACTTGTGTATTTATTTTAAATGTATTTATTGATGCGAGCCATGGAGGAGATCAGCTATGAGGAAAGATTATCTAGAAACTGAAATTCTCTACGAGAACGTATTCTCCACTGTATAAGTGGGGGAGATTAAGGGGGATATGATCTCCATGTATAATACATAAGGGGGGATATGATCTCCATGTATATAATACATGTATAAAGGTGGGATATGATCTCCATGTATAATACATAAGGGGGGATATGATCTCCATGTATAATACATAAGGGGGGATATGATCTCCATGTATAATACATAAGGGGGGATATGATCTCCATGTATAATACATAAGGGGGATATGATCTCCATGTATAATACATAAGGGGGATATGATCTCCATGTATAATACTTAAGGGGGATATGATCTCCATGTATAATACATAAGGGGGATATGATCTCCATGTATAATACATAAGGGGGGATATGATCTCCATGTATAATACATTAAGGGGGGGATATGATCACCATGTATAATACATAAGGGGGGATATGATCACCATGTATAATAAATAAGGGGGGGATATGATCTCCATGTATAATTACATAAGGGGGGATATGATCTCCATGTATAATACATTAAGGGGGGATATGAGATCTCCATGTATAATACATAAGGGGGGGGGGGATATGATCTCCATGTATAATACATAAGGGGGATATGATCTCCATGTATAATACATAAGGGGGGATATATGATCTCCATGTTATAATACACTAAGGGGGGGATATGATCTCCATTATAAATAATAATACATAAGGGGGGATTATGATCTCCCATGTTATGATATGATCTCCATGTATAATACATAAGGGGGGATATGATCTCCATGTATAATAATACATAAGGGGGGGATATGATCTCTCCATGTTATAATACATAAGGGGGGATATGATCTCCATGTATAATACATAAGGGGGGATATGATCTCCAAGTATAATACATAAGGGGGGATATGATCTCCATGTATAATACATTAGGGGGGGATATGATCTCCATGTATAATACATAAGGGGGGGATATGATCTCCCATGTATAATACATAAGGGGGGGATATGATCTCCATGTATAATACATTAAGGGGGGATATGATCTCCATGTATAATACATAAGGGGGGATATTGATCTCCATGTATAATACATAAGGGTGGGGTGGGATATGATCTCCATGTATAATACATAAGGGGGGATATGATCTCCATGTATAATACATAAGGGGGGATATGATCTCCATGTATAATACATAAGGGGGAATATGATCTCCATGTATAATACATAAGGGGGGATATGATCTCCGTATATAATACATAAGGGGGATATGAATCTCAATGTATAATACATAAGGGGGGATATGATCTCCGTATATAATACATAAGGGGGATATGATCTCAATGTATAATACATCAAGGGGGGGATATGATCTCCATGTATAATACATTAAGGGGGGATATGATCTCCATGTATAAAATACATCCCACGGGGGGGATATGATCTCCATGTACTAATACATAAGGGGGGGATTGATCTCCTATGTATAATACATAAGGGGGGGATATGATCTCCATGTATAATACATAAGGGGGATATGATCTCCATGTATAATTACATAAGGGGGGATATGATCTCCATGTATAATAACATAAGGGGGGATATGATCTCCATGTATAATACATAAGGGGGGATATGATCTCAATGTATAATACATAAGGGGGATGGATATGATCTCCTTGTTTAATAATACATAAGGGGGGATATGATCTCCATGTATAATACATAGGGGGGGATATGATCTCCATGTTATAATACATAAGGGGGGGATATGATCTCATGTATAATACATAAGGGGGGGAGGATATGATCTCCATGTATAATACATAAGGGGGGATATGATCTCCATGTATAATACATAAGGGGGGATATGATCTCCATGTATAATACATAAGGGGGGGGATATGATCTCCATGTATAATACATAAGGGGGGATTATGATCTCCATGTATAATACATAAGGGGGGGGATATGATCACCATGTATAATACATAAGGGGGATATGATCTCCATGTATAATACATAAGGGGGGGATATGATCACCATTGTATAATAATAAGGGGGGTAATATGATCTCCATGTTATAATACATAAGGGGGATATGATCTCCATGTATAATACATTTAAGGGGGAGAGATAATGATCTCCATCATAATAATAAGGGGGATATGATCTCCAATGTATAATACATAAGGGGGATACGATCTCCAAAGTATACTTACATATGGGGGGGATACGATCACCGTGTATAAATTACAGAAGGGGGGGATGTCGATCTCCATGTATAAATACATAATGGGGGGGATATGATTCTCCATGTATAATACATAAGGGTGGGATATGAATTCTCCAGTGTATAATACATAAGGGGGGTATATGATCACCATGTATAATACATAAGGGTCGGGGATAATGGATCACCATGTATAATACATAAGGGGGGGATATGATCTACCATGTATAAGTTACATAAGGGGGGGGGATCTCCATGATCTCAATGTATGATAATGTCATAAGTGGGGATATGAGTCTCCATGTATAATACATAAGGGGGGATGTGATCACCATGTATGAATACATAAGGGGGGATGTGATCACCATGTATAATACCATAAGGGCGGGGATTAGGATTTGATCACCATGTATAATACACATAAGGGAGGGATATGATCCTCCATGTATAATACATAAGGGGGGGATACGATCTCCATGTATAATACATAAGGGGGGGATACGATCTCCATGTATAATATACATAAGGGGGGGATATGATCTCCCATGTATATACATAAAAATAAAAAAGGGGGGGGGGAATTTCATGATCTCCATGTATAATACATAAGGGGGGATACGTGATCACCATGTATAATTACATTAAGGGGGGATTGTGATCTCCATGTTAATAGCATAAGGGGGGGGGGGATATATGATCTCCATGTATAATACATAAGGGGGATATGATCTCCATGTATAATACATAAGGGGGGATATGATCTCCATGTATAATACATAAGGAGGGATATGATCTCCATGTATAATACAATGAGGGCATGGATATGATCTCCATGTAAATACATAAGGGGGGATATGATCTCCCATGTATAATACATAAAGGGGGGAATTACGATCACCATGTATAATACATAAGGGGGGATATATGTATCACCACTGTATAATACATAAGGGGGGGAATTATGATGCTCCATGTATAATACATAAGGGGGGATATACGATCTCCAATGTTATAATACATCAGGGGGGATGTGATGTATAAAACCTAGGGGGGATTTTCCCACCCCCACCCCACCTCCATGCATAATACATAAGGGGGGGATTATGATCACCATTTATAATAAAACAATGGGGGGAGCCTATATGATCCCATGTATAATACATAAGGGGTGGGATCACCATGAAAATAACATAAGGGGGATATGATCTCCATGTATAATACATAAGGGGGGGATATGATCTCCATGTAATCCTACATAAGGGGGATATATGATCTCCATGTATAATACATAAGGGGGGGGATATAATCTCCATGTATAATACATAAGGGGGATATGATCTCCATGTATAAAACATAAGGGGGATATGATCTCCATGTATATAATACATTAAGGGGGGGATATGATCTCCATGTATAATACATAAGGGGGGGATATGATCTCCATTGTATAATACATAAGGGGGGCCCGATATGATCACCATGTATCCAAAACATAATCCCCCCCGTGGGGGTGGGTATCGCATCTCCATGTATAATATGACATAAGGGGGATATGATCTCCATGTATAATCCTACATAAGGGGCGGATATGATCACCATGTTATAATACATAAGGGGGGGATATGATCACCATGTATAATACATTGAGGGGCTGGGGATATGAATCGCCATGATAATACATAAGGGGGGTGATATGAACTCCATGTATAACATACATAAGGGGGGGATAGTGGAATCCAGTCCATGTATAATACATAATAAAGGGGGGATTATGATCTCCATGTATAATACATAAGGGAGGATATGATCTCCATGTATAATACATAAGGGGGGATATGATCTCCATGTATAATACATAAGGGGGGGATATGATTCTCCATATATAATACATAAGGGGGTATGAGTCTCCATGTATAATACATAAGGGGGGGGATATGATCTCCATTGTATAATACATAAGGGGGGGATATGATCTCCATGTATAATACATAAGGGGGGATATGATCTCCATGTATAATTTACATAAGGGGGGTATATGATCTCCATGTATAAATACATAAGGGGGGATATGATCTCCATGTATAATACATAAGGGGGGGATATGATCTCCATAGTATAATACATCAGGGGGGGGATATGATCTCCATGTATAATACATAAGGGGGGGATATGATCTCCATGTATATACATAAAGGGGGGGGAATATGATCTGCTATGTATAATACATTAAGGGGGGAGATGATCTCCATGTATAATACATAGGGGGGATATGATCTCCATGTATAATACATAAGGGGGGGGGATATGATCTCCATGTATAATACATAAGGGGGGGATATGATCCTCCCCCCCCAATGTATAATACATAAGGGGGGGGTGGAGGGTGTTGATCTCCATGAGATAATACATCAGTGGTTCATATAGTGAACCTCGGTTTGTAGTTAGTTAGACCCCTGAGGTCATCACAGAGGACAAGGGGGCGCTCTTTACGTCTGGAGGAAAAGAAATGTCAATCTCCAAACACCGGAAAAGTTTCTTCACAGTGAGAGCTGTGAGAATGTGGAATAGACTCCCTCCAGAGTTGGTTTGTGCCAGCCTCAGTGGATTGCTGTAGGAAAGTCCTGGATTCTTTCTTGGATACACAGAATATAACTGGATATAACCATTTATAGGGAAAGGTGATCCAGGGAATTATCCGATCGGCCTCTCTGGGGGGATCAGGAAGGAAAAAAAAAAATCTTTTCCCCTGCAGGAGCAGACTGGATCGTGCTTTGCTGGGTTTTTGCCTTCTCACTGGATCAACTGTGGTGTAGGATTATAACTTTTTTTTTTATGGTATGGCTTTGACCCAATACGATGTCTCCTACCAGAGCATGAAAGGTTGTGCAGCTCCAAAACAAGGCTGGGGAAGCCCGACCAGTACTGCAAAGTGAAAAAAAAAAAAAAACAAGAAGCGCACCAACCTTTGCGCTTTACCTCAGTAACCAAAAATGTATTAGTAAAAGAATGGAACTCACAAACAGCGAATAAAAAACAGGCAGGTAAGTCCTCCCGGGGGACTTCAGAGACAAGAGGCCAGCGCGAATCCCACCATGGGGGTAGACACTCGGTGCAGCTGACGCGTTTCGAAGGTCATGCCTTCTTCATCATAAATCCCCAGTCCTTATGGCTCTGATGAAGAAGGCATGACCTTCGAAACGCGTCAGATGTACTGAGTGTCTACCCCCATGATGGGATTCGCGCTGGCCTCTTGTCTCTGAAGTCCCCCGGAGGACTTACCTGCCTGTTTTTATTCGCTGTTTGTGAGTTCCATTCTTTTACTAATAAATTTTGGTTACTGAGGTAATGCGCAAGGTTGGTGCGCTTCTTGTTTTTTTTTTTTTTTTTTTTTTTTCACTTTTTTTATGGTTGAACCAGATGCACTTTTGTCTTTTTTCAGCCAGACTAACTATGTAACTAAATAACTTGTATTATTAGTTGTAAACGGTGAGTAATCCATGACTGGCTCTACCAACAAAATTATTTTCTGGTTTCTTTTGCAGACTATAGAAGTCATTTTCTTCCTATTCCTATTGCTATAGTCTTCATCACAGCATTTTTGTTTTCGTATAAACGTAAGTACATTTAACTTCACTCAGTAATTAACATTATATTTCAATTCAAAAAATATTCCCTTTGGCATTAACCGCTTCCTGGCCGTCCTATAGCAGAACTACTGCTACAGGACTGCAGGGTTGCTTGAAATCACCAATATATATGGGATTTTGTACATACAGCATGCTTACATAGTAACACAGCACACAGTTAACCCTTTGATGATGGCCCCAGATGTTAACCCCTTCCTGCCCAGTGCCATTAGTACAGTGTCAGTGCTTTTTATTAGCACTGATCCCTGTATTGGTGTCACTGGGGATGTCAGTGACACCAAGTTAGTTCCTCCCCCAGTGTCAGAATGCCCACCGCAGTCCCACTGTAAGTCGCTGATCGCCGCCATTACTAGTATAAAGAAAAAAAATCCCAGTATATATCCCGCCATTTGTAGACGCTATAACTTTCACGTAAACCAATTAATTTACACGTATCGGGATTTTTTTTTTGTAGCAAAGACACGGAGCGGGGGACATTTTCGGACGAAATTTATGACGAGATTTGATCTTTTAAATTTTTTTATTGGACATGTTTAATAGCAAAAAGTCCAAAATATTGTTTGTTTGTTTTTTTCAAAAATTTGTCGGTCTTTTTTTACAGTTCGGCCTAAATTTATGACGTATTTTTTAATTTAAAATTTTTTTATTGGACATGTTTTATAGCAAAAAGTCAAAAAATATAGTGTTTTTTTTTTTTTCAAAATTGTCGGTCTTTTTTTGTTCATAGCACAAAAGTAAAAAAACGCAGACGGGATCAAACACCACCGATAGAAAGCTCAATTTGTGGGACAAAAAGGACGTAGATTTCATTTGTGTGCAGTGTTGCACAACTGCGCAATTGTCAGTTAAAGAAACGCAGCGCTGTTTCGCAAAAAATGGCCTGGTCAGGAAGGGGGGGGGGGGGGAGTCCTCTGGAGGGAAAGTGGTTAAAAACGCTCTCAATATTTTTTGGTCTTTTGTTCCCCAAGTGTGACCTCATAGGCTGACACACTATTAAAGCGCAGGGATTTGGACAAAAACACTGGGTAATGCCCCCCTGACTGAAAGTGAAATACCAACCCCACCAATGCTATAGTCAGGAACTGAATCATCTGCTGGTGGCGCTCTCCAGGGCGGGAGGTTGTAGTTTCAGCGTCCACCTGTGGGTGTCTACCAGCAGTTTTGGTAATCAGTCTCCATCTGGTGCTGGCTGCTGGGAGGGTACTTAAGTCCCTTTGTACTCACCATAAGTTCACCGACAGACAGGAAGGGGGGGGGGAATCCTCCGGAGGGGCGAGGGGTTAATAAAATATTCTGATAAGTATAATCCCAATTCTCAGGCCCGGGACCCAAGCCAGGACTTGCTAATCCAAGAGGACGGGGCATCGTCCTTTCACAATATATGGACTGTATGGTGGAAATATAGGGGGTAGAATGGCAGCTGGTTGTGAAGTGGGGGCATAGAGTAGAAGGTAATGATAATTTCAGGGCATGGAGGGGAGAGAGGAGCAACAGCTGACCACAGGACATTGAGGAAGCTAGAGTATGACATTGACCCTAGAACTAGGTCAGATAACCACCACTCAAGGAAACCCCCCAAACTTCTGGAGGAATCCTAGAGCTTCTGGTTGTTCTAGATGTACGTCACCTTCTCTCTGTATGTATACAGTATACAGTATATGGGCGGGGCTATCAGTGAGCAGTATACAGTATATGGGCAGGGCGGTCAGTGAGCAGTATACAATATATATGGGCAGGGCAATCAGTGAGCAGTATACAGTATATGGGCAGGGCAATTAGTGAGCAGTATACAGTATATGGGCGGGGCGGGTCAGTGAGCAGTATACAGTATATGGGGGGGAGGGCGGTCAGTGAGCAGTATACAGTATATGGGCAGGGCGGTCAGTGAGCAGTATACAGTATATGAGCAGGGTGGTCAGTGATCAGTATACAGTATATGGGCAGGGTGGTCAGTGAGCAGTATACAGTATATGGGCAGGACGGTCAGTGAGCAGTATATGGGCAGGGCAATCAGTGAGCAGTATACAGTATATGGGCAGGGCGGTCAGTGAGCAGTATACAGTATATGGGCAGGACGGTCAGTGAGCAGTATATGGGCAGGGCAATCAGTGGCAGTATACAGTATATGGGCAGGGCGGTCAGTGAGCAGTATACAGTATATGGGCAGGGCGGTCAGTGAGCAGTATACAGTATATGGGCAGGGCGGTCAGTGAGCAGTATACAGTATATGGGCAGGGCTATCAGTGAGCAGTATACAGTATATGGGGGGGCTATCAGTGAGCAGTATACAGTATATGGGGGGGCGGTCAGTGAGCAGTATACAGTATATGGGCAGGGCGGTCAGTGAGCAGTATACAGTATATGGGCAGGGCGGTCAGTGAGCAGTATACAGTATATGGGCAGGGCGGTCAGTGAGCAGTATACAGTATATGGGCGGGGCGGTCAGTGAGCAGTATACAGTATATGGGCAGGGCGGTCAGTGAGCAGTATACAGTATATGGGCGGGGGCGGTCAGTGAGCAGTATACAGTATATGGGCAGGGCGGTCAGTGAGCAGTATACAGTATATGGGCAGGGCAATCAGTAAGCAGTATACAGTATATGGGCAGGGCGGTCAGTGAGCAGTATACAGTATATGGGCAGGGCGGTCAGTGAGCAGTATACAGTATATGGGCAGGGCAATCAGTGAGCAGTATACAGTATATGGGCGGGGCGGTCAGTGAGCAGTATACAGTAATATGGGCAGGACGGTCAGTGAGCAGTATACAGTATTTGGGCAGGGCAATCAGTAAGCAGTATACAGTATATGGGCGGGGCGGTCAGTGAGCAGTATACAGTTTATGGGCAGGGCGGTTCAGTGAGCAGTATACAGTATACGGGCAGGGCGGTCAGTGAGCAGTATACAGTATATGGGGAGGGCGGTCAGTGAACAGTAAATAGTAGCGGCGCAGTCAGTGAGCAGTATGTAATGGGAGGGGGGGAGGAAGGGAAGTCAGTGATCTGTATGTAATGGTGGTACAGTTAGTTAGCAGTATATAGTGGAGGCAGTGAGCAGTATGCAGTAGGGACAGTGAGTGATATTTAGTGGGGGCAGTGAGCCAGTATGTAGTGGGGGCAGTGAGCACTATGTAATGGGGGCAGTGAGCGCTATGTAATGGGGCAGTGAGCAAAATATAGTGTGGCAGTGAGTGCTATGCAGTGGGTGGCAGTGAGCGTTATGTATTAGGAGCAAGTGAGTGTTATTTAATGGGGATTATAGCAGTGAGTGCTACGGTTTGTGGGGTCAGTGAGCAGTATGTAGTGAGGACAGTGAGCGCTATGTAATAGGGGGGCAATGATTGTTACATAGTGGGGCACAGTGAGCAGTATGTAATGGGGGGCAATGAGCGCTATTTAATGGGGGGACAGTGAGTGCTGTGTAATGGGGGCAGTGAGCAGTATGTAGTGGGGGCAGTGAGCGATTATGTAGTGCACTATATAATGGGGAGCAGTATGTAGTGCGGGCAGTGTAGCGGTATGTAGGGGGGGCAGCGGTATGTAGTGGGGTGCAGTGAGCACTATGTAATGGGGGGCAGTGAGCACTATGTAATGGGGGGCAGTGAGTGCTATGTAATGGGGGGCAGTGAGCGCTATGTAATGGGGGGCAGGCGTGAGGAGTGTATGTAGTGGGGGCAGTGAGCACTATGTAATGGGGGGCAGTGAGTGCTTCGTAGTTGGAGCAGTGAGCACTATGTAATGGGGGGAAATGAGCAGTATGTAGGGGGGGCAGGGAGCACTATATAATTGGGGCAGTGAGCAGGCACTATATAATGGGGGGCACGTGAGCACTATTATATGGGGGGCAGTGAGTGCTTCGTAGTTGGAGCAGTGAGCAGTATGAATGGTGGGCAGTGAGCGCTATGTAATGGGGGACAGTGGCACTATGGAATGGGGGGCAGTGAGCGCTATGTAATGGGGGGCAGTGAATGCTATGTAATGGGGGGCAGTGAGCGCTATGTAATGGGGGCAGTGAGCACTATGTAGTGAGGGCAATGAGCACTATATAATGGGGGGCGGTGAGCACTATATAATGGGGGGCAGTGAGCAGTGTGTGGTGGGGGCAGTGAGCAGTATGTGGTGGGGGCAGTGAGCAGTATGTATAATGGGGGGCAATGAGCAGTATGTAGTGAGGGCAATGAGCACTATATAATGGGGGGCAGTGAGCAGTGTGTGGTGGGGCAGTGAGCAGTATGTGGTGGGGGCAGTGAGCACTATATATAATGGGGGGCAGTGTGAGCACTATGTAATGGGGGGCAGTGAGCACTATATAATGGGGGGCAGTGAGCACTATGTAATGGGGGGCAGTGAGCACTATATAATGGGGGGCAGTGAGTGTATGTAATGGGGGGCAGTGAGCAGTTCCCAGGCTGATTTGTAGTAAACTATGATCTGGAACCTTCACAGACGTACCGCTCTCCACCCATCCTACATTTTGAAGGGCTTTGTTTACAAAACTTTGGTTAAAACAATCTGTAGGTTCACCCTGACACCTTCCATGTCTTCCCTCTGCAGGATTCCAGAAGACTGAGGAAGAGAAGAGATGCCGCTGAGCTGAAGTATATGGACAATGTCCAGTTCCCAGATAGTGACATCTCTGGGCAAAGCCAAGAAGCAGCGGAACTTTAGGAGGTGAGTCTAGCAGAGATCCAGCACTGAAAGTCCATGTAAACCCAAGGACACTGCGTTTGCTCTGCGCTCTGTATACCATAAATTATTCTCATGAGAAATAAAATCCTTTTCATCTTTTCTTTTGTTTTTTGTTGCATCCTCATGCAGCTTCACAGTAGCCACTTCCTGTCTCCATGCCCTCCGGTGTCTGCATGGCATTTCTTAGGAAGGATTTCTGATGGTGACAACAGTTATTAAAAAATTGTATAGCTATTCGTCCTGTGAATCTGCATGTTCATTTGTTCTGTGCAGATTGGGCAA